TGAAAATCTCACGAATGTATTCTCTTAGAAGTAAGAATGTGCGAAAATAACTTTTATTTCATTTCATTGAAGAAAACAACTCCAATTTGACAATAAAAAAGTAATTATTAAAAGAGTAATGCATATGCAATTTGAGTAATGCATTTATTTTTTGATGGTGATGGTTACACATGAAATTATATCTCGAGCTATCATTGTAACGGATGACAAAATTAAGATGGAAATTGATAATCGGATAATAGATTTTGGATGCTTTAACACAGATCTTAACCCCATGCTTTTTCAAATGCATTAAAATATATTGAATAGAAGCACAGACCTGAAAGCATAGAAGCAGAAATTTTGAAAGGAAAATTCAAAGGTGAATAAAAAATGATTAGTGTTAATAAAACTGTAATGAAAATAATAAACAGAGGAGCAAAAGGAATCATTGATTTGTTGTGCTCTCATACGATGGACCTGTTTTCGGCCAAACTACTATTAATTATCATTATATCGAATTTGAAATATTGGGAATAGTAACAAATAATAAAACTTTAACATTGAACAATTTAACATACAAAAAAAGGCAGATAAACTATTTTAGATACATTTAGATAATCTTATCTGTGATTTTTGTTATTAATTATATTTCATGTTAAATTTGTTCAATTATTAATTACATATAATTAATATTATCACTAATTTAATTTCAAAAATAATTTATCAAAATTATTGTAACATAAATAGTAACAATATTGTAATTTTTGTAAAATTGTGATTTTGAATTGGAATATATTAATACATATAACCTTATTATTTTATAATGTCTATTTATTTCAATAAGATATAGTCTTTGTGGTACTACAAAGCGTAGATTATAATTATTAATATTAAACATTCTTCAAATAAGCATATGGTTAACCCGTCGGGGCGGTTTCATAATATCACACCCGACCGGTGTGTTAGTCAAAAACACGCCAAAAAGTAGATCAAAGGTGACTACATACAAATATCACCCCTTTTCGTGTTATTGTACGCGACATACGTTTGCAGTGTATGATTCAAAAACTATTTAAGATATCGATTTAAAATTTTTACATGGTATTTTTAAAGGCATAACCTATTGAATTATGAAAAATTTGAAAATTCGAATTTTTTAAAATTTCACACTAGGTGTGCCCCTTAAGAAAAATTGCTAAAAGTGTGCAAATAATTGACTTGGTCAATGAATATTGAGATGCCGCAACTTTTAAAATGGTTACGATAAATCCATACCAGTTATTTTCGACGAATAATAGTTCAAATTTTAAATAAATCACGTGTATTTGCCATGTCGTCCTTACCTAACACAACGCTTTCTCATACATTTTTACTTATAATTAGCCTTGGATATGCACGGTGAGCAACACTAACTAGGCCAAAGTGATATTTTTCCTTAAGCGAGTTGCGAAAAGATAAAAATTGAATACTTCTATTATATTATCATCATCGTCCATTCTGGTTTCAGATTCAAAGGAAATTCGTCTACCTTCGAGAATACCCTCAGGAGCCATATGGGCTCCATATAGGGCTTATAGAAGGTCTCTTATCGGTACCAAACCCCCCCTGACCGAAGAAACATCACAAACGCCCTTAAATACGGAGCAAAGGGCCAAGGAACCAAGCCAAGGGCCAAGACCTACAGATATATGTTAACGACAATATGTAAATTAATGTTTTGTATCATCTGTAATATATGTGGGTGGAATGATAAAGAATAGTAAGTTTTATCTTATTCCCGAACATGCAGCTGGTGAAACTTGTCCCACAATTTTCTGTCCACATATCTGGGAGCACGGATCAACCGATTTGAAATATTTAAAAAGCAATCGTTTACTATTGAGAAAACAGAGCATCCGATTTGAATTATTCAAAAACATTCAACATGTATTGATAATAGTCCAGTCATTTGGTCGTTTTGCCGGTACAGTACTCCGGGAATTCTGAAAATTTGTTATCTTATAGATTTTGAGGTGCTTTTTACGAAAATCAACTTTGCCACCTCAAATTTGAATGGCAAGTTGCCGCCATATAGGAAAAATGGCGTCAAAAAACAGCTTTTTTAAAATATCTCCTTTCTGGCTGATTCTACGATAAAAGTATCTATGTACGAATTAAACTAGATAAAATTTTCTACAATTCCTTAAAAACCGTTTTTGTGTAACATTGATAGTTTGTGAGTACGGCCACCTCAAATTCTTTGCTGCTCTCGCCGTAGTATCAAATTTGTCCATATATGACCGCAGTTTGAACTTGATCACATTCTTTCTAATAAATAAATATTTTCAATGTTAAATTAAGCGAATAAGATCTAGAAATAAAATAATTCAAATGTTTTTCTGTTTTTTTGCTAATTTTTTAGGCAATGGCAATGGAAAAGTAGCTATAAGTAAGTAGCATGAAGTGTTAAAAAATCAGCAAAAAACAGAAAAATATTTGAATTATTTTATTTCTAGATCTTATTCGCTTAATTTAACATTGAAAATATTTATTTATTAGAAAGAATGTGGTCAAATTCAAAGTGCTGTCATATATGAACAGATTTGATACTACGGCAAAGCAGCAAAGACTTTGAAGCGGCCGTACTCTCAAATTATCAATTTTACAAAAAACGGTTTTCCAAAGAATTGTAGGAAATTTTATCTAGTTTAATTCGTACATAGATACTTTTATCGTACGATCAGCCAGAAAGGAGATATTTTTAAAAAGCTGTTGTTTGACGCCATTTTTCCAATATGGCGGCAACTTGCCGTTCAAATTAGAAGTGGCAAAGTTGATTTTCGTAAAGAGCACCTCGAAATCTATATGATTACCAATTTCAGAATTCCCGGAGTACTGTACCGGCAACAGCCTTTTTTTGCACCAAATGACTGGACTATAATGCGGTGATTGGTTGTTGTAAAGACAGGCCCAGCCGTTTCAAAGCTTCCGAATCGAATGATTCAAAAAACATTTTGCAGTATGAAGAATCGATTAGTTTAGGAAAGTAAAAAATTTTTTGTCCATTTTTTTTAATTTACCATTTTTTCACTGTTTAAATATGAAAAATGATTCGGATTTTAATTTTAATGCTAGCTAAAATTCTAAAACTCTCTTATATACTTCAGGTAAATAAATTTAACTTTGCAAATTAGATTATATAATTCTTAGAGATATGAGATATGTTCTTTTTTACTTCTATTTACTTTTTATATAAACATATATAAACGTCGTCGTCCAATTTATTCTTATATTTATAATACGAATAACGAATGTTACAGTATTTATAATAAGCTATTCGAAATCATTTATTATTCCTTGATTCTATTTAATTACGGAACGGGAATTTTCGCCAATTCGCTTAAAGGCACGATGCCATGCACCACTAATTATATTATTATTATGTTAAGAACAAATATCACAGTAAGCAACAAAAATTAAACAATTATCTGGTCTGATCCTGATCACATCTCTATCTCACTATCACCAACTTTATATATAAAAACCCAAACTCGGTTTAAATTGCTTACTTTCAGTTTATTATAGCAACTTTTATTCTCACGTTTCATACGGCATCCAATTCTGGGGTTTTTCATCCGAACTAATTAAAATATTTAAGCTTCAGAAAAGAGCTATTCGAATCATTTTTTCCTTGCCCATATTTAAAAAACACAATATTCTAACTGTCCCATGCATTTATCTGCTGGTAACATTATCTTTCATGAAAAACAATTCGAAACTTTTTGATATGGCTTCGTCTTCCTCAAACTACAACACTAGACACAAACTTTCAATGCAATCGACGGTTTAGGTATTCAGCTTATGAATAAACTCTACTCAATATCCGAAACTTAGACAGCAAAAAACTTCATGCTCTCTTAACTTTTTAAAGGATTAGCTTTTTATGACACTACTGAATTTTTTCGATTTGATTTCAATAACTATTTTCTTGCATAATCCTTATCATTTATCTATGTAGTCTGATCATTTGATCGCCTGTACAACCATGTTTTTTATTGCTATTTTATTAATTCAATTTTTACGGTTTTGAATGAGTATAACTTTCAACATTGTGAAAGAATTTTGAGCTTGACTGGTGGTCAAATAGACTTTAATATGATGAACTTAATTATGAATCAGTTCTTTTTTTCAGAAGCGAAATTCGTACAGCTATTATGATTATTAAAAAATTATTATCCTTTTAATATTAATTATGAATAAGCTTAACAATAGCCTGAAATAATATCTATTATTATTGATTACGGCTTGCTTATGATTAAATAAATAAATAAACTAGTGGGGTGTATGGCATCGTACTTTAAGGCAAATTGCTGGAACTTCCCGTACCGTAACGAAATATTCGAGGGATAATTATAATTAATTTATATTTTATTGATCAAGTCGAATATTTACACATATCGGGAAGTTCATGTAACTTGCCTCAAGGCTAAATACGAAACCAACTAGTTTACCCTACTGGACGTATTTTCCAAGAAATTCGTATACTGTATGTCTTGCAGAACTTATTTTATAAATTAAACACTATTTTAATTTGATTCAATTTATTTGCCAAATAATTGTAACGGAGTACGGAAATCACAATGATATCGATTTACTGATAAAAGGTACTATCGACCTGAACAGTTATAATCCCAAAATCTATCTATTGAATGCTAGTTACTGCTGGTACTGATAATACTGCAGCAGCAGTGTTGACTAGTGTGAACAAAAATAATGGTGTTACCATATACAATTCTTTCCATACTCCCACTCGATGCACAATTGCATCCAAAATTAAATAAACTTAAAGTTAAATCTAGTAGATAATATCTTAAGTCACATACAAAATAAATATAAGTTTCTTAATAGCAACTACAAAACTTAAAGTAATTAACTTAGCTACATTCAAAAAATCATACATTTTTTCTAATACAAAATACAATTAAATTAGTTCACATTCAAGAAATAACACAAGATACAAATATTTGTTATTTACAATATTAATCATTAATTGGCAAAGGCACTAATTTATGAATAGGTCTTGTGTAGGTTCCATTTGAGGTTTTAACTTCTGCCACTCGAACTTTACCATCACGACCATAATTTAAATTAACAATTCTAGCCAAGCACCATCTTAATGGGGGAAGGTTATCCTCCTTAATCAAAACTATCGAGTTTAATTTCAAATTTGGCTGATTATCTGACCATTTATTTCGTTTTTGCAAATAAGATAAATAATCCTTTGACCATAAAGTCCAAAATTTATCTCGCATGGCAGTTAATTGCTTATATACCGTTAATGAATTTAATTTATCAAAATTTACGTTTGGTTCTGGGATTGTAGTTAAAAAATCTCCAATCAAAAAATGACTAGGCGATAAGTACTGAAAACTAGAAACATCATCTGTTATTGCCATAAGAGGACGTGAATTAAGAATTGCTTCCACCTGTAATAGTACTGTTAAATATTCCTCATAAGTTAAACAGGAGGAGCCTATTATCCTTCGAAGGTGATATTTCATAATTTTAATACTTCCTTCCCACAATCCACCAAAATGTGGGGAATGAGAAGGAATAAACTTCCAAGTTATGCCCATTGTCGCAGCTTGGTTAATTATATCTGTCTTGAAGGATTGTTTACTAAAAAGATTCCGTAGCTCTTGCAACTCATGATTAGCGCCTATAAAATTCGTTCCGTTGTCGCTATTTATTACCGAACATAGACCTCTACGAGAAACGAATCTCTTTAAAACACAAATAAATGATTCTGCTGTGAGGCTAGTTGTAATATCTAAATGAACAGCTTTAGTCACCATGCAAACAAACAAAACAATATAAGCCTTAATTCTTGGTGCTTTCCTTAATCGACTCGATCTTATCGTCAGCGGTCCTGCGTAATCAACCCCAACATTAAAAAAGGGCGTTGAAATTTAACTCTATCAATGGGTAAACTTCCCATTAATTGAGAGGCAGTGACAGCTTTAATTTTTGCACATTTTACACATGAGTGTATTATCGCTTTTAGCTCTCTTCGCGCGTTCAAGGGCCAATATTTTCGACGAATATTTGCTAAAACCGTTTGCGTGCCCGCATGCATCAACCTTTCATGCTCTTGTTTCAATAAGAGTCTTGTAACATAATGTTTTTTGGGCAGAATTATTGGGTGCTTTTGTTCATAAGAAACATCAGCATTTTCTATCCTACCACCCACTCTCAAAAAACCTGACTTATCTAAGAAAGGATGAAGCGATTTCAATTCCGACATCAATTTAAGACTAGGAGTATGTTTACTATCTTGCAGATTTTTTATTACTTTTGTGAAGGTTTCTAACTGAACCAATTTTAAAATTACCTTCAACGCATTATCTAATTCTGGGACCGATAACGTATTGTGATCACCACGACCTATCGACCTTTTAATACAAGGGTTCATTCTTAAGCAGTAAGCTAGAACTCTAGTCATTTTCCTTAGCGAAGAGAATCGCTGACAGAAAGTATCAAGAAAAGAACTGCTGTTTTCTTTAACTAATAGAACTCTTTGTTCGGGTAGAACAGCGTCTAAAGAAGGATCAACATTTGGCCACCTATCAGTATTCTCAGACAACCAACTTGGGCCATTCCACCATAGCTCACAAGTTTTTAATTGATCTGCGGATAAGCCTCGTGAAATTAGATCTGCTGGGTTGAAATCAGAAGGCACATGTCTCCAGATTGTGCCGGGAGTAATGTCAGTAATTTCTCCTACTCTATTGCTCACAAAAATATGCCATCTATTTGGATCTCCAGCGATCCACGACAAGACAATATTCGAGTCACTCCAAAGTAAAACCTTTTCAAAATTTATATCAATGTTATCAATCACCCTTCTGAACAACCTAGCCAATAATAATGCAGCACACAATTCCAACCTCGCTAAAGTTATCGGTTTTAAAGGTGCAACTTTTGATTTCGCACACAGTAGTTTCACACTCGTAGTTTTATCTTCATATGTGGTTTTAACATAAAAGCATGCTCCATAAGCATATGAAGACGCATCAGCAAAACCATGAAGTTGAATACTTATAATACGTTTGTGATGAAAAACGCAACGATCAATAACTAAGTGTGATAATGTCCCTAACTTTGTGGCAAACTTGAACCACTTATTTTCAACGTTTGCAGAAACACTTTCATCCCAATCTTTCTTATCTTTCCAAAGTTCTTGTAAAATCAATTTTCCTTGTATAACGACAGGTGCGATCAGTCCTAAAGGATCAAAAATTTGTGATATCACAGATAAAATAACTCGCTTTGTACAATTATTAAATTTAAAAGTGGGAACTGAAATAAGAAAGTGATCCTGTTTTGGATTCCATAATAAGCCTAAGGTGTTAATAGAATTTTTATCGTCAGTGAAGATAGGGTTATTAAATTCTCTCAATTGCAAAGGAATATCATTTAAAAAACTTGGAATATTTGAAGCCCATTTATGTAAGCAAAAACCGCCTAATTCTAATAACTTAATTAATTCAATTTTAGTACGCTGTAAATGTTCTATACTATTAGCACCAGTAATTATGTCGTCGACATAAATGTCCTCTAAAAGTACATGTGAAGCAATCGGGAATGTGGCTTTTTCTTCAAAGGCTAAATGATTCAAACATCTTATCGCAAGATATGGAGCTGAAGCCGTTCCGTAAGTTACAGTTGTAAGCCTGTAACATCTTATTTCTTCCGAAGGAGAGTCCCTCCAAAGAATCCTTTGATACTCCTGATCGGCTCTTTTAATATTTATTTGTCTAAACATTTTAATTAAATCAGCTATGAAAACAAAAGGCTTCGATCTGAATCTTAGCAAAATGCAAAATAAATCCTTCTGTAATTTTGGACCAGCTAGAAGGATGTCGTTAAGAGACTTTCCCGACGAAGTTTTAGTCGATGCGTCAAAAACAACGCGTATTTTATTAGAATCTGAATTTTTAAAAACAGCATGATGTGGCATATAATAATGATTATGACTGGTGGAAGAATCAAAGGTATCTAAAATGTCCGATTTTGGAATATCTGTTTGAACGGCGTGCCCCATAGAAATATATTCATGAATAAACTCACGATAAAGTTTATATAAATTGGGATTCTTGTAAAAACGCTTTTCTAAATAAAGAAATCTCTTATGTGCAACACCATATGAATGACCTAATTCTCCTTGATAATCTGGTGTAAAGGGCAAGGCAACTTCAAACCTATTATTAATTCTAGAAACACTAGATAGAAACTGCTCTTCACAAATTTTATTTAAACCATAAAGGCGCATATTTGTCTCAGGTATTTCTTCCAAATTCCAGAATTTAACTAAATTCTCATTTAATTTAAAATTAGAATGTGTTATCAAACCTACATATTCCTTAGACCTTTCAACACTATTGTAATTGCCCGAAACAATCCATCCAAACTTAGAGTTACGTAAAATCGGGTGATAACTTCCTAACCTAATAGAACCCTGCTGTAAAATGTCGAAGAAGAGTTCAGCTCCTATCAACATATCTATAGGGCTTGAAATATAAAAATGAGGATCTGCTAATTTAATGTGTGAGGGAATATTCCAATCGTTTATATTAATATCAGCGGACGGCAAATTACTAGTGATTGATTTTAAAACAACAAAATCTAAGGTTCTAGAAAACGTAGAAGCATTTGAAAATATTTTTATAGTAGCTGTTTTATTACTAAATAACGAATGTCCATGTAAAACACTTAAAGAATTTGATACTGTATTTAGAGTGCAATTTAACCGGTCGGCAAGTGACTCCGAAATAATATTTATTTGACTACCGCTATCTAATAATGCCCGTACATTGAATGATCTACCAAATGAATCATAAACCCTTACAATGGCAGTAGATAACAAGGTTTGAATGTTATTTTTACAATTAGCTAACAAAATCGTCGGTGGCTTATCAGAAGGCTTATCTACTTGGTGACTAATCTGATCACTTTGTGCACTGTGTAGCAAAGTATTATGCAATTCGGATTTGCATACCCTACATGAACCCGTATACTTGCAACTTGCTAAGGCATGAAAACCATCCAAACATTTCTCACAACAATTATTTTTATTTGCAAATTTCTTGCGTTCTTGGACAGACAATTTTTTGAATGCGTCACAATTAAATAATGGGTGATTTCGTTTGCAAAATGGACAAATTCGCTTGGATTTTTGTTTACTAATGAAATTAACGGGTTTTGAATTAAATTTTGATTTACTACTAGAAGGTTCTGATCTAAAAGTCGCCTCCAAGGCTGAAATACGTGATGTTAAAAATTCAAAAAATTGTTCTAAAGTAGGCAAATCTGTATTCCTATGTAAATTCCATGCCAAGCAGGTTTTATCGTCCAACTTTTTTGTGAATAAAAATATAAAGACTAAATCCCAATACTTAGCGTCATCATAGACTGATTTTAGTGATAGCACCTGTTGTCGAGCAGTATTTAAAAATGAATTTAAATGTTCAAACGTATCTCTAGTTAAATTTGGTAAATTAAATAATGATGACAAATGTGCATTAATAATGAAAAGTTTATTATCATAATGCTGTGTCAATGAATTCCAAGCTATGGCATAGTTTTGGTTTGTCATGGTTAAATTCGCTATCAATTTAGACGGGCCAGAAGACAATGAACCTTTTAGATAATACAACTTTTCTACATCTGTTAAATTTTTGTTGTTATGTATTAATGAAATGAAAATATCTTTGAACTCAACCCATGAATTATATTCGCCATTGAACCTCGGCAATACTATGTCAGGTAATTTAACCTGCGGATTATTGGGTTTTATTATATTATCAATAGCTTGTTTGTTATCAACGGTGTTATCTTGGACTAATTCGTCAATCCTAGTCAATAAATCTAAATGTTTCTCACAATATTTGCGGAATTCAACTGAGTACTTCTTGGGCTCGAGCAATTCTAATTCAACATATATTTCCTCGATCCGATGAAACATTTCTAGTAATTTCTGTTTGCGTATATTTAAACCGGCAATATTATCGCCTTTAAAGCTAGTAACATATTTAAATATAATGTCAAACGTAATTTCTATCTGTGACCTCTGTTGCAACAATGTACTTAAGTCGGCCATTTTGATTGAAATTAAATTATTACTTCAAATTAAATTTATAAACTAATAACAATCGGTATAAAGAATGAAAATATGAAAACAACTTTGAAAAAATAATATAATATTGTTAGGTAAGGCCACACGAGTATAAACTTCAGACCTTAAGCTAACTATAATGGATGTCGGTCGCGTAAAATGGCGTCAAACAACAATGAAACCTACAAGCCTACGACCTTTACAACTCAAAATTTATAACTATAATAAGCAATTACAATACAATGAAATAATTATAATATTCACTGTAGGTAATGTCAAATAAATAAATGTCAATAGATATCACTTCTACAATGTCACCTCATGAATTCTTCCAAGTAATTCCTTTGGGACACGTGGTAGACTTTCCACAGCTCCTTAACTCCGCATATGTCACTGGTAGACTCGCGACACTTCCTGAACCCCAAGTTCACTTAGGCCACGTGGATGATGTCCACAGTAATTCGGCAGCAAATTGCACGTGTCAGCATTCAGCAAACTGCAGCTAATTGCACGTGCACGTATTGCACAAAATTGACGTAGTGCACAAATTTTAGAATAAAATGTATATTCTGCAGCTCAAGATCTAGCCAAGATCCGGTTGAAGGACCAAAATTTTATGGACGTATTTTCCAAGAAATTCGTATACTGTATGTCTTGCAGAACTTATTTTATAAATTAAAC